ATTTGGTAGGTCGGATTGATTGGCCAAATATAAAACCCATAGAAAATCCCAACTTTCTAACTTTACAAACACCAAAGTTATGGCATTTCCGATCAATCAGTTATATGGCAGCTATAGGATATAGTCGGCCGATCCTTATGAAATTTGGTAGGTCGGATTGATTGGCCAAATATAAAACCCATAGAAAATCCCAACTTCCTAACTTTACAAACACGAAAGTTATGGCATTTCCGATCAATCAGTTATATGGCAGCTATAGGATATAGTCGGCCGATCCCGGCCGTTCCGACTTATATACTGCGTGCAAAGGAAAGAAGGGTGTGTGCAAAGTTTCAATCCGATAGCTTTAAAACTGAGAGACTAGTTTGCGTAGAAACAGACAGACGGACAGACGGACAGACGGACAGACGGACAGACGGACATGGCTATATCAACTCAGGAGGTGATCCTGATCAAGAATATATATACTTTATAGGGTCGGAGATGTCTCCTTCACTGCGTTGCACACTTTTGACCAAAATTATAATACCCTCTGCAAGGGTATAACAACTGTTAAATTTAAATTGTATTGTTTTTTAATTTCTTTGTACAGCGGCACACTTGTCATGCCAAGGTATTTGATATCTTTTAAAGGCTCTTTCCCGCAAATACGATATTTGAATTTTAACTGCTTGTCAACAAACCCAGCTGATTGACAGTGCGACCGTAGCACGCTTAAATCTGATGAACTCTCAAAATGTTGGTCACACTGGAAAGATTAAAGTTTTTACGCTAGCGTAATCGTTTGTCGATCTGGATACTAGGCTTAAAGAAGAAATAGTTCGTTAAAGGATACAAAATACCAAAGCGATAGTACCTGCAGAAACATTTTTGTATGGCAGTTGAAAAATTTTAACCGATCATTAAGGATATAAGGAAATAAATTTCAAAATAATTTATTTTATATATTTAAGTAAAGCTTAAATACAAAATGACATTTAATAAATAAATTTAAAATAATAAATAAATATAATTTTTCATTTGCCAACTTCAAAATTTAAAGAGTTTCTGCAAAAATATCAAATTATTTAATATACCTTTCTTTTACCTGTAAGTATTTTCAATATTTAAAGAGGTGCTCAATTTAGCAGCAGAGATCTTTTTTGCCTTGGTTTTTATACCCTTGCAGAGGGTATTATAATTTTGGTCAAAAGTATGCAACGCAGAGAAGGAGATATCTCCGACCCTATAAAGTATATATATTCTTGATCAGGATCACCTTCTGAGTTGATATAGCCATGTCCGTCTGTCCGTCTGTCTGTTTCTACGCAAACTAGTCTCTCAGTTTTAAAGATATCGAACTGAAACTTTGCACACACCCTTCTTTCCTTTGCACGCAGTATATATGTCGGAACGGCCGGGATCGGCCGACTATATCCAATAGCTGCCATATAACTGATTGATCGGAAATGCCATAACTTTGGTGTTTGTTAAGTTAGGAAGCTGAGAATTACTATGGGTTTTATATTTGGCCAATCAATCCGACCTACCAAATTTCATAAGGATCGGCCGACTATATCCTATAGCTGCCATATAACTGATTGGAAATGCCATAACTTTGGTGTTTTTAAAGTTAGGAAGTTGGGATTTTTTATGAGTATTAAGAATGCATCATATGAAAAATTTTGGAGAATATAATGTACATAATATTCTGCAAGGGTATATCAACTTCGGCTCCGCCCGAAGTTAGCTTTCCTTTCTTGTTAATTTATAGATTTTACTGTAAAGAAGACCTCCAGGCTTCTTGCCAATGTTTTGCATAAAATATGTTTCCTATAAAAATATATTGAATTATTCCCAAATTTAAATTGTTAGGTAGATATTTTAATACCTTAATTTCAGATTCAAATAGCATCTGTATATCCTCGGCTATAGAAGACAATACATATTGCTTCTGCTGAATATCATTAAAAATAAAATATTCAGCTATAATGCTACTCAATATTTTGCGAAGCTCGTTAGATAAAGTTTTTGTTTCTCTATAATAGTTAAATATAGGCGCTGCTCGGTTGCTGTGGGCCAAAATTCTTGGTAAATTAATCTAAGCATACAAAAAAAGTTGGACAAAAAAGCTAAGCAGAAATTAAAAATAATTCTTACATCACTGCCACTTGTTCCAGGTGCGTTGCTTTCAAAATCGGTGTGATTTTTCTGATTTAAAATAATAAATAATTCATTCATTCAAAAAACTCGGCGAAATGAGTCGAGTTTATTACGGTGCAACAAAGATTCGCAGATTGATACACGGTCGAAAAGGTTTTTTTGGGATAACTCATGAGGCACCCATACATCGAGCGTTTTTGTAAAATTTTTCGACTTTAAATGCCTATGGACGGTTTCCGTGCTTAGTTGCAGCTCCTCTGCGATGGTTCTAATAGTCACATGACGATCTCGATCCACTATTTCCATGATTTTATCCGTATCAACGGTCACTGGTCGTCCGGAAGGCTTGGGTGTTTCGGTATCAAAATTGCCACTTCGGAGTCGCCTAAACCACTGTTCAGCGGTTTGAATGGAAAGTTTGTTATCTCCTAAGACAGCAATAATCTGTCTGCGAGATTCCGCAGCAGTTCAAAATTGCCCGAATTTCTGCGTTTGTGAACTCCATTTCAATCGATTGTAATTTTTTAACGTGAAAGCTCATGTAAACAAACTATATGTCGGTGATGCCAATACCTTTCAAACGATATACAGCATTGCTAGATACGATTATATTTGACTTCACAAGCGAAGCGCGAAATTTGAATGTAAAATCCGGTATGTCATTACCAAACAACCTAATATATCAAAAGATTAAGGTTATAAATGATATTCAAATTTGTATCCTAAATTTCTAGTTTACAGTATTATTACTATGGGCAATCAATTACGTGTACCTCATACACAAACATTTTTAAATTGGTTATTATTTTCATATTTAAAAAAATATTTCTATATTTTAGAAAATATTTCTATATTTTCGGATTAATATATATTTTTTAGAAAATATTTCTATATTTAAGAAATTATTTCTATATTTATGAAAGCGTTTCTATTTTTTAGGGTTATCGAATTTTTAAGGTTAATTTGAGAAAATTGTTCTATTTTTTAGGGTAAATAATTTTTTAGGGCAGAATTTCTAATTTGAAGAAAAAAAATTCTAAAAACAAGTACCATTTTTACTAAAACATAGAAATTCTTTCTTGGATTTAGGGTGAGTTTAGTTTATGGCGACAATTTCTACATATGAGAAACACTTTCTTGATTCAAGAAAAGTTTTCTTGTTTTGAGAACAAAATTCTTTGAAAATAGAAATCTTTTCTTGGATTTTGAAAAAAAAAAAGTTTTAAGGCGAATTTCTAAAATTTAGGGTTAATTTTGCTATGAGTGTATAATTTACAGAATAGTCTGCAAGGGTATGTCAACTTCGGCTCCGCCCGAAGTTTGCTTTTTTCTTTCTTGTTTTATAATAAGATGTTAGGAACACAATAATAAGAAATTTAAATTGTGTTTCATTTTGAAACGTATATAGCTTTTCCTGATGGACTAAAAGTGATTTTTTATTTTTACCAAGTTATTATACCTGTTACTCGTAGAGTAAAAGGGTATATTGTATTCGTGCAAAAGTATGTAACAGGTAGAAGGAAGCGTTTCCGTCCCTATAAAGTACATATATATATTCTTGTTTAGGATCACTAGCCGAGTCGATCTAGCCATGTCCGTCTGTCTGTCTATCCGTATGAACGCTGAGATCTCGGATACTATAAAAGCTAGAAGATTGGCATTTTACATGTAGATTTTAGGAGTTCCTACGCAGCGCAAGTTTGTTTCAAAATGGTGCCACGCCCCCTCTGACGCCCACAAACCACAAGCTGTGGCCACAGTTTTGATGCTATAATGAAAATTTTAATTGATATGTATTTGTTTCGTCGATAAATATCGATTGGCCTAATAAAAGTTTACCACGCCCACTCGAACGCCTAAAAACCCATTAAACGCTTAAGCCTGGCTAGCGCCTACATTTCCGACTTTCATGGTCCGTGGTACCAATGTCTTGGGGTAGATGGCGCAATAGAATAGCGCCATCTAACGGATGACTTTGGAACAGCTGGCCAAGGTGCTCAACAGAGTCAACGTTAATTCTCGATAAGGATTTCTATTGAATGAAATTGCGATGATTTTCATTTGTCAATACCGAACTATATCCCAAGAACTATGCAAATCAAATCAAGTTAGCCAAATTGGAGGTCTGAGTCAAACAATGGCGTATGTGTGTATGCTGGTGCAGGACAAAAGCTGCCTGCGCTAAAGCAGAGCTGGTGCTGATGCTCGTGCTGTAAAGCTGCCAGCACTTAGAGATCGCCGAATTCAAATTGATAATTTGAACTTTTTGTCCTTTTTTCCTGTGGTCACTATAATTCACATTATGTTAAAAAAAAAAACACAAGAAGGCATATGCTATGCCAGCTATAAGATATAGTCGTCCAATTCTATAAAAGTAAAACTGTAAGTTCTGAAATCGTTCAAAAATACTATTATATTTTATTTTCCGCCTTCCCAACTTTTGACTGAAATTTTAATAGCTTCTGCAAGGGTATAAAAATAAAGAAAATCCTGTTTTACTTATTCATACATTTTGTTTTCTTATTTTAAGATTTTTAAGAAATAAGTGTGTGCAAAGAGTCCTGAACACATGTGTTAAAAAATTACCTGAGTAATTGTTACAAGCCGCAGTATTGAAATAATTTAATCGTGGAAACTTTAGTAAACTATTAAAATGCATTTTCATACATGAATTGCGTTTTTCCGCGCAGTGTAAACGGTAACAATATAAAACTTTTATGCGAACAGAGTAGAAATGATCGGGAAAAACGAACTAATCAATTTGGGGTAGAGCTGCAAGAGTATAAAAACTCCGGCGTGACTGGAAATTGATTCAATCAGTGCTTTATTAGAGACTTATGTCAAAGCTATAAGTTTATTGTTTGCTATTCCCACACACAAACTCAAACACTTTCCATAGACTGAAAAGTTGACTGGTTTTCAGACTGCAAGGTGTTACATATATCGTCTTCTTCAGACGACGTATTGAAGTTATAATTGGGTGCACAAGAAGGTAGGTGAGTCCAGCACAGGTAATCAGCAGGACTAACCGGAAGACCCCCAGAAACCGAACGCTTGCCAAATGGCCTTTCTGGGACGGGTCGACAGTCAGGGAGCCCTCATCGACTGCGAGGTGTTCAACTTCCAGCCCCAGCAGAACCCAGCCTGCCCGCCGGGAGAGGACGAGGCCAGCGGGCGGCTGCCGCAGAGGAAGGGCTCCAGGACCTACATCAAGACCTACGACAAGGACAGCCCGCTGCCCTCCATGGGAAGCCCCAGCACGGTGCGCTACGTGGGCAGCTCCGTGTCGTCCAGCGAAACCCACTCCTTGGACGAGACGGAGTCCTCCACTCTGCGCTGCTCCTCGCTCGGGTCACTGGGCACCTTGGCCACGATGGTGGGACACCACGAAGATGGGCTCGAGTCGGAATCGCTCTGCCTGGACCTGGACAGCCCCAGCAGTAGCCCCGCCAGCGGCAGCAGCAGCAGATCCACCTCCTCCCGGGAGGGCAGTTCCGGCGACAAGGACTCGACGACCTCGATGTGCAGCTGGGAGGAGGCCATGTCCCGGGAGGAGGAGCCGCACAGCTTCAGCCTGCCCTCGCTGCGCCTGGGATCAGAAGGGGGGCGGGGGGCGGGGGCGGCTTTGCCTCGCCGCCGCTCACCTACACCCGCCGCCTCGACCCGCTGCACATGGAGCGCTCCGCCGACGACGCCTACGAGAACTGGCTGAGCGGCAAGCGGCGCCAGTGCCAGTGCAGGCTGCGGCAGGAGCAGGCCGAGCGGGAGGCGCAGCGGGAGCGGACGGCGCTGCGCCAGCGGTTGGCCAAGGGGGAGTACGAGCGGTGGTGCCAGCAGAAGGCGCGGCAGGCCAAGCCCTCCCCCCGCCCAAATACCGCAGCCAAAAGCAAACGCTCCCGCGCAGCACCACCAGCACCTGCAGAAGTGGGAGCTGGAGAAGATCAGGCTGGCCGAACGGAGGCGTCTGGAGCAGCGGGACGTCGAGCGGCAGCGGGAGCAGGAGAAGGCGCTCCGACGGCAGCAGGCGGAACAGGCCTTCCGGCGGTGGATGAGCAACGTGGCCCAGCGACCCAAGCCGGTGCCCACCAGCCAGGGAATCCAGTCCCTCCGCGGCACCGTTTCCGACATCTTCATCAACCCCAATCAGTGGGTGGACTGAAGAACATTAGCTTGCTGGAAGAGGTGGCCCAAGAGTCGGAAAGTGTGTTGCCCAAACAGGCTCCTCCAAAGGTGGGAATTTGCCCGCGCCGTGAAACCAAAGTTGTACCCTAGTGAATATACTTACTTACATACTTACTCATTTAGCACGATTAAATACCAAAACAGGTGTTGCTTTTTGATTTAACTGTGGGTGGGGCTGCACACTAAGTAGGATAAATTTAAAGCATAGTTCAGTTTTTGCAACCTTTCGTGGACGACAAAGTCAGCAACAAAAGACTTTTCGCTAAATCTTCCAGTTTGTATTAGAATCAATATCATGGCAACAAGCTTTAGAGAATAGAGACTTCAACTGTATCAGTAACAAGAAGGAAGCAAACTTCGGTGGCTGTTACAAAATGAGTTATTCTACATTTTGATTTCAATGCTTAAAAAAAAGGAACAACGAGCTATTTGATAAGTCGTCAGAATTTATAAAGGTAAGTCCGCGATCCTAAAACCAAAACCAATTAGTATATCTCGGAGTATATGGATATTTGATAATAAAACATGAAGGGAAGCAAACTTCGGCCAGCCGAAGTTTATAAACTCTTACAGTTTTACAAAACGACTACATTTCGATTTCTACCCCTATATTACTACAAACAATGAAGCTATGTCGATTTTGCGCTACATTTTGCCATCGTTTCTGTGGCAGCTAAATGATATTGTTGTCCGATTTTAACAAAACTAAAATCGTAATTCTGATATAGTAAATAATTACTATATCTCAAAGGAATATTTTGATAGCTTGAAAAACAGCAAATTTAATTTTCTTTTTATTTTATTTTTTTAATTTATTTCAATTTTTTTTAATTTTACCGTAATTCTGTAGTATTTAAATATTATCAAAACCCAAGGAACAAAAAAAAATTAAAAACAACAAAGTTAAACTTTTTTAAATTTTTTTTCCCGATTGTTCCGTGGGAGCTATATGATATAGTCGCCTAGTTCCGACCTATATACTACCTGCAAAAGAAAGACAACTTTTGGGAAAGTTTTAAGCAGATAGCTTGAAAACTCAGGGACTAGCTTGCGTAGAAACGGACGGATGGACGGAGATGGCTAGATCGACTCTCCTGATGATGGTGATCAAGTATATATATATATTTTATAGGGTCGTAAATTTCTCCTTCACTAAGTTGCAAACTTTTGAATGAAATTATAATACCGTCTGCAAGGGGATTTATTTTGTGTTCAATGCAACCGTAAATTCCGTACAAAACGTCACCAAAAAATTATGCTAACAAAATATTACAGTGATTCAACCAATACTTTTGTTGGTGCATTCCTTAATGCCCTTACACTAATTACGAGATACACATAAATAATGTAACTTCTCAAAAACAATTTCAAAATTGTTGTATATATTTCTAATAGAAACTTTTGTATGCCACTGAGTTGACCAATTTGCGGGTACTAAAGGGCATTGATACGAACTGACGAGATCTCGAAGTTGTACACAGACGGAAACCTCTTTGGTCTCCTTTTTTATACGCAAAACCAAGGGTTTTGTGAAACTCAATTCACCTTCACACTAGTGTTCACAGGTAAAATAAAAAAAGCCACTTAACAGACTGGGCAGTGTTGTAGACTATGAGTCCGTGTCAGGAAAAGAACAGATATCGACGTTGCACACAGACGGAAACTACTTTCGTCCCAAGACCAAACTTATTTACATTTAGAAGTGTTACAAATTAAATTCTATAAATTAACAAACTAGAATGATGGCTAGTTTCGAGCATAGCTATATCTTCTGGTTTTTAGGGCTCTTTTCCTTAGATTTTAGAAAGGAACGCCCTTAATTTTTGAAAAATGTACCCTACAATTTAAGGTGCGATGCCTTTGAAGTATGCAGTTATGCTAAGGACCAAGTATTTGCAAAAATTGTACTTAACAGTATGTACGATTTGAAAAGGCCCATTTTGTTGTCTGCATGTTTTATTCTATGAATGCAATATAACCCAGATAAAATGGGCAAGTTCGTCTCATGCCTACAACCTAGCTCAGTTTAAGCAAATGGGTGCAATGAAATGGGTTGCCCACAAAATTCGGCCCCCGCACGTTTTCGCTGCATAACATTTTAGGTTTCATTTTCTATTAATATGCAATTTAGCTACTTTTTCCCATTATAATTTTACGTCTGTGCCACAGCCCCCCCCTTCCCCGCACTGATCGGTGTGCCTCGCACAACTTGATTGCCGTTGCCGACGCAGCTGGAGTTGCCGCGGACGGTTGTTGCTCCTACATTCTAATCGAAATTTTTTATTGTTTACAGTCACGAAAGAGTGCGACGCTGGAGCGATGACGACAACACGGCGTCGTCTGCGGTGGTGCGGTGGTGCAGCGGTTCAGCGGGTCAGAGGTCTGGGGTCAGGGGTCAGGGGGAGTGGTGCATTGGAGCGGCGGCGGAGGGTAATGTCAGTTATTTGACAGCGCCGACAGTCGAGTACGATGGCGGGGCGGACATGCAAGCGGGCCGAACTGCCACACTGCCACACTGCTGCAGCTCCAATCTTCTCCAGTCTCGCCACATCGGCTGCTTAGCTCAGGGGCGGATCCAGGGGGTTCTTGGGGGCTTGGGCCTCCGAAATGCAGTGAATCAATCGGAATAAAGCAAATAGTGATTTTAAAACGATTTATATTTCTGGGCGTACTCACTTTTTCAAACAATTTAGTCGGCTAATTGTAATTCGTTCTTAAACGACACAGTTTATCCATATCTTGTGATATTCATCTTCAGTTTCATCATGTTATTTGTCTCGATTATCGGGGATGCAAGGGATTTCCAAATTATAAACTAACAGTATTATTATGTATAACCTGTAATAAACAGTATTATAATAATAAATAATCATTTTCCTTTATTTTGAGGAAAAGCCTGGTTTTAATGCATCGATAGTATCGTTGTTTTTCGGGAAAGAATCGAAAACACTGATGTATTCAAACATTGATGAATTTTAGGCATCAATGTTGAAATTTTAACATTCCCAATGTGTAAATCCTCTACAAAAGTGAAAGCTGATATGCACCATTCCATAATTATCCCCCAAAACAATGTTTAGCTTTGCCTCTGGAACAGCTCAACGTTTGCTAGTCGCGATGTTCAAATGCTAAGCCAAATATGTGCAACTTAGGCGAGCGGCATAAAAAGCTCCGTGTAGTGCCCCACGCCGCTTATGCATTTAACCACATCCACCAGCAAACAGCAGAAAAGTGGAAAAGCGGAAAAGCGGCATCGGTAGAATCAGAAGCATCAGATTCGTTGGCAATGCAACCGGCATTATTATACCCCTTACTTGAAGAGTAAAAAGGTATATAGTATTCAAGCTGTAGTATGTAACGGGTATAAGATGATGTGTATATATTCTTGATCTTAATATTCCTCGATCGTGTGAACGTCTAGATCTCGGGACTTGTATGAGCTAGATATTTGGACTCCACCTTTAAATTTAAGATTTATTTGATTTCATCAAATTTTGCCAATTCTAACGCCTTCAACTCAATAATAATATTAAAATGGAAAATTTGCCCTAATGCATGTTTTTCACACAAATGACGCTTGCGACTTGCCGGAGGCATACATACTTATTTTAAAGTTGGTGAACAAAGTGATGGGTATCTAATAGTCGGAGTACTCGATTATAGCGTTCCTTTTTGTTTTATAATTTACAAACAAGTAGTTCGACAACGGCGCCATCTGCGACAAGATTTGCCTTTATCGACAGCAAAACCAAATGGCAGTCTAACCCCTACGCCCTCGAAAAAACGGAATTCCATTTGCTGTGGATGTAACTCACGAAACTTTCATTGATAGAAATCGAAATTATTACCCCAAGGTAAAACTATTTCAAAGGCATCATTTTGTATGAAATCTTTTGGAATTGTAATGGAAAGGTTGAACAATGCCCCTGATTATATGCTTCATATGGAAATTAAGAAAAAAAGAAAGAAAAGAAGAAAAGAAGCAAGCTTCGGCAAGCCAAAGTTTATATACCCTATCCATTATTACAAAACGACTACATTTCGATTTCTAACCCTTTATTACTAAAAACAATGAAGATATGCCGATTTTGCGCTCCATTTTGCCATCGTTTTTATGGCAGCTTTATGATATTTTTCTCCGATTTTGACAAAGCTCAAAGCGTAAATCTGATATTGTAAGTAATTACTATATCTTAAAGGAATATTTTGATAAATAGAAAAACTGAAAAAATAAAGTTGTATTCCTTGCAGAGGGTATTATAATTTCAGGCCAAAGTTTGCAGCGCAGTGAAGGCGACATTTCCGACCCTATAAAATTTATATATTCTTAATCAATATATATTTATACTTTATAGGGTCTGAAATGTCTCCTTCACTGTGTTGCAAACCCTCTACAATGGCATACAAAGTGAAATCAAAATAAAATGTCGATTTTTAATTTTTAAGCAATTTTCTTGATTAAAGAATCTTGAATCAAGAAATATTTTCTTGTACATGTATGGTTCATTTTGTTATGAGTTAACATGTGTTTATATATCAAGAGTTTAATAAACATACAAATATCATACAACATATACAAATTTCAAATATATATATTCCATAACTCGAGATATAAAGTAAAACCCGGAAAAACGCTGACATTTTTCTGTAAAAAATCGTAGCCATTTTCCGGTAGCAATATTGAACTTTTGAACAGAGACACTCGCCTATAGCGTTCCTTCTTTTTATACCCTTGGTAGAATAATTTTACTGCAGCGCATTAAAGGAAACATTTCTGAGCCAAAAATTTACATATATAGCGAGTCAATCTATCCAAGTCCGTTTCTCCGCAAAGTGTCATGATTTCTTGAATGCATGAAATCAAAATAGCCCCGCGATTCAAACGAATTCATTAAATCCGAAAAGCCCCTGTTTTCATGCCACACATGCCGGCAGGTTTGAAAATTAACATGAAATTAAATAGTTTTTGAAATGCTCTCATTCAGCTGTCCCTAAAAGAAATGTCCTGAGTAGTGTTTGTTTGTGTTTTATAGGATATACTCTTCAAATCTAAGGGTTTGATCTAAACAAGTCGGATATGTGTTCTTCTCCG